ATGTATTGCACTGGGTAGGACAGTCAGTATTATGCTGAATATGAGTAGCTGACAGGGGACTTTGCCTGTTCACAGCCTCAGGGGAAACACATGCAGTATTTCCTCCTTGAGTATGGTGTCAGCTGTAAGTCTTTTGTGGGTGTCCTTTAGGAGTTAAAGGAGACCCCTCCTACTTCTAGGTTATTGTGGTTGTCTTTTCCTTCACATGAATGAGTCTTCAGCTTTATCAGATACTATTTTTGCATTGAATAAGATTATTAACAAAAGAGTTTATTTGAATATTTCAAAGGAAATGCTCATGTGTTTTCTTTTTTTCATGAAGTATACTGATTGATTGTCAGATGTGAAACCAATCTTTTTTTTTTTTTGAAACTAATCTTGTACTCCTGAAATAAACCACATTTGGTTATAATTTATTATTCCTTTTATGTATTGCTAAATTTAATATACAAATGTTTTAGTTATAATTTTTAAGTCCATGCTTCTGAGGGATATAGATATAGATATAACAGTACTTTCCTTGTCTTGTTATGATCTCATCAGGTTTTAATTTGGTTATGCTGGCCTCGTAAGAGGAGTTGAGAATTACGTATATGATTGGTATTCTTTCTTTAATGTTTGAAAGAACAAACCAGAGAAGCTGTTTGGAATTGGAGTTTTCTTCATGGGAAACCTTTTTATTATTCATTGCATTTATTAAATAAGTTTAGTACTATTCAGATATGCCATGTTTTTCATGACAACTTTGGTAAGATTTATTTTGGTGGGAATTTGCCTATTTCATTTAAAATATCAAGTTTATTGTCATCAAGTTGTTCATAATTTTCTTTTATTATATTTTTAATCTTGGTAAAATTTGTAATCCTTTTTCTTTCATTCTTGATGTTGATCATTTATTGCCTTTCTTTTTTCCATAACCAAATTCACCAAATGTTTAGCAAGTTTTTAACATTTTCAAAAAACAACCTTTTGTTTTTTTAACTTTCTTTACTACGTATTATTTATTATGCTTGTCTTTTTTATTAACTAACTTTTTAACTTTCTTTGTGCTTGCGTTCTTTGTTCACTTTGTTGAGATGTGTGCTCAGCTCATTGCTTTTCAACCTCATTGTACAAGTGTCCCCTAAATACTATAAAATTTTGATATAGGTTTTGCTATATTTTTTAGTAGTATGTAGTTAAAGTATTTTAGAATTTCCCTTATTCTTTTGTCTTCGAGTCAGTGGTTATTTGGAGCTACCAACTTTTCAGAGATGGTGATATTTTAAATGGTATTACTGATTTCTATCTTAATTTAATTTTAGTCAGAGAACATAGTCTATATGATTTAAGTCTTTGAAATATTTTGGAACTTGCTTTAGGACCAAAGATATGACCCTTGTTTATTTTGATAAATACTTTGTATATGGTGGATGATTTGTTGTTTGGACCCACAGGTACATATGGTGCTCACTTGCAATGTTTTTACCACTACAGTGAGCTTCCTTGATAGGCCTTGGTGTGAAGAGGCTGCAGTCTCAGAAGTGTACAAACCTTTGTGGCTTTGCTTCCATGTTGTATTGGGACAGCCTGACTCCATAGCCTGTGACTACTTTTCAGATTCTATAATGTAGACTATACTGTTACAATCTGCCATGGATATGTATGTACACAGAAGGCAAAAAAAATGACTTAAAATTAATGTCACCAATGTTCATAGCAACATTTTTTATTATTCACAATAGCCAAGAGGTGGAAGCAACCCAAATATCTATTATAAATAAATGGATTAAAAAGTGAATGATACATATTATGGAATATTGTTTGTCTTTTAAAAAGAAGAAAATTCTGACACATGCTATGTCCTGGATAAATCTGTTTTTTAAATTTTTTTTCCCTCTTTGGAGTTTTGAGGCAAGTCTCCCTTTGTAGTTCAGGCTGGCCCTGAATTCACTATGTAGCCCAGGCTAGCCTTGAACTCACAGCAATTCTCCTGCCTCAGCCTCCTGAGTGCTGGGATTGCAGGTGTGCACCACATCTGGCATGGCAGAATTTTAAGAACACTATGTTAAGTGCAATAAGCCAGTCACAAAAACACAAACGCTGTCAGATTCCACTTGAGATACCTAGATTTGTCAAATTTATAGAGTTGAAAAGAAAGTTTTGTGTTATTATCTGATTCTTTTTTGTAAACATCTTTTTGGTTTGTATTTTGTACTCTACTTTGCAGATAATGATAATTAATTATCAGTGTATTAATTATTATTCTTGTATTATTTTGTTATGAAAATATTTTTTCATAAAAAAGAGAAAGTAGAACAGTGATTTCCAGGGTCTGGGTCATAGGAGGATGAGCTGGAGGATGGTGTTTAATGGGTATGGAGTTTCAGTTTGGAAAGCAGAAAAAATTCTAGAGGTGGTGATGGCTGTTCAATGTGAATATACTTAATACACTGTTTATTGAAAGGGGTTAAAATGGCAACTACTGGTTAGGGTTCACTAGAGGAACAGAATGTATACTATAGATGAATGATATATAAAGAATTAGTAAGGTAGGTTACAATGGCCGCCTGCATCAGAATGGAAAAGGGTCATCTTTGCTAAAAGTCAAAAGCCTGGAGCTCTTTGCGGAGTCCAGTGAGAGCCAGCGTCAGGAAGGTGAATGGTCCGGAAGACTGGAGTCTAAGGGTGACGGGAAGCAGGGAGCTCCTCCAGTGAAGCAGAAGTGAGACTTCCTTCCTCTTTCCCTTTTTATTCCATCCAGGCTGCTGGCCCATTGGCCGGTGCCAGCCATGCCCAGAACTGTGGTAAACCAATCTTCTGGGTATTTTCTTGTTCAAGCTGACACCACAATCAACTATCACAATAACATTTTAACCAAGCATGGAGGTGCATGCCTATAATCCCAGCATTTGGGGAGGCTGAGGCAGGAGGATCACAAGTTCAAGCCCAGTCTGGAAAATTTAGTGACACTGTCTCGAAATAAAAAATAAAAAGGGGTGGGGATGTTTGCTTCAGTGTGAAGACCCTGAATTTAATTCTTAGTACCACAAAAATGGTAAATCTTGTATTATATATATTTTATCAAAATTAAAAAGGAGGAAGAAACGAAATACTTGAGTGAAGGATTTGAAAGACATTTTAGTAGAAAATTAATGTTCGTAGTAAGTCTTTTAATAAAGACTAAATGAGAATGTAACAATCAGATTTTACCTTATTACAGCATAACATAATATTCTCATTATGACCTTTTTTTGTATCAAATTTGCATCCAGTATTAAATATATTACATGGGGAGGTTGTGGTGACAGAGAAGATTTTGGGTCAAGGAAGCTTCCTGAAGTGACACTGGTAAGTGAGTGCAAATCTATCCTCAAGGCAAACCTACCTAAGTAAGAGAAGCAAGATAGGGTGTGAACCTGGAGGGTGTGACTTCACAGTCCAAGTTGCTTATGAGAAACTGAAAGTGTGAATAGTGACTAAAAGGTATAATAGATTATGTGAAACAAGAGGAAAAGGCTCAAAGGGGAAGGGGAAGTGGGAGAGGGTAGGGGAAAAGAAAGAAGCAAATGGAATTAATAAGAGAAAATGAAAAAGTGGAAACAAAATCTTTGTAAATAGAGAGGGGTGGAGAGGTTGAAGGGAGGGCAGGGGAGTGGGGGAAAACAAGAATCAAGACGGATTATGTAAAGGTGCCCATTTCCAATGATGAATGTCATTATATGGCATACCTTAAATGTACCAATAAAAATAATTTAAAAAAGAAGAAAGAAAAAAAGTGCAAGCTGCTCGCAAAACCCACAGTTGTTATTAGGTCCACAGAACTGACTCGGGCAGAGCAACCTCTACGTAGTGTCCCTAGTTTTCATTCTGAGTACTCATTTGAGTCTTGCAAGGAGACCTGTAGGGGCCCATAGGTTTTTCTGAGACAATGTCCCCATGTCCCCAGGGCTTCCAATTTTCTTGTTTTTCCTGCTCTATTTCTTCTTACTGTATTTTACTGCTTCTTTTTTGGGGGGAAGAGAATTTTGTTTTAATTTTAAACTTTTGGCAGCATAAACTGCTTAATTTGTGAAATGTTGTATTTTATGGAAGCTAGCTGGTAGATTTTGCTGTCTCCCCTACTACCACCTCTTTTCTACCTTCTGCTGTCCAGTCCTTGTGGGAAATAACTGAAGGCGCTGGAGGCTGGGAGGAAGTTTAGACCGTGAATGCGCTGATTTAGAAATGTAGGTGTGGTGCGCCTCCTACTTTGGAAGATTTACAGCTGCAATGAAAGGCACTCTGTTTCTTTAGGACTTAAATCTGTTTGAAGTATAATAAAATGATCACATTCATATTCCTATCAACAATGTCCTCATTTAAAGTCTTGTATTTTATACCGCATACAGCATATTTCCAAAATCTCATTTCCTATTTCTGGCAGGTTTATTAGTTTCTCTCCCTCCCTCCCTCCTTTCTTTTGACTTTTATCAAACGGCCTCTTCCCCTTTTACCTCTTATAGAAGCTCCTTTAAATCTACTCTGAATGAATTTAAACATTAGTCTGCAAAGGAAAAAGAGCAAATGATTAGTCCGTACCATAAACAGTTCTGTTTTGTTGAAGTCATTACACCCGCAGCAACTGCCATGTGCATGGCCTCCGGAGTTAAAGTCCACCTGAGACTCTCAGCCAAGGCGAATCACAGGCAAAGTGTGTTTGCCTGGCCTTTTTTTCTGTTCACATCTGGGATCTTTTTCTCTCTCCTGTCTGCCTATCTGGACAGCTGACTTATTTATCTCTCTTCAGGTCCTCTTTTGATTTTTGCCCGGCAGCCTTACTAATTTGGTTGTGTGACCCACTGAAGGCTGTCAACAAAGCAATATATTTCAAACACCACATTTCCTTTTAAAATGTCCTGTGCAGAAATAACCCTAGGTGGGTGGTGTACATATATATATAATATTTTTTTTCCTCTGTTGAGGAAATACGTCTTTGCCTGTGATGACTTTCTCTGCTTTTGCCCGTTCCTTTGCTGTAGGAAATTGATTCAAGAGATGAGAAATCTTATTTTGCAAACGGAGTGACGCTGATTTGAGTACAGCCTGGGTGCAACCAGTGCGTGCGAGGTGACCTCCCAGCAGCAGGGCTGAAATACAACATTTTCCCTGCTGAAGACTTTTTCCCGCCCCATTATTGTTTATGCACCCAGAATTCGTGCATTGTGAAAAGGATTCAAATCCTCTTCTAGTGATGCACACCACTTAGCGAGAGAACCTAACGATAAATCAAAAGGTGGAGGCAAACGGAGAATCCGAGCCAGGCGAGGCCAGGAGCAAAGACGGACCCACGACTAAGCCTTGTACCTCGATGCCCCGGATGGAGGTGGCTCAAGCCTGGCCCCAGCCCTCCCACACCCACAGAGAAAGAGAGAGACACAAAGACTCAAGTAAGATTGGCGCCAATCGGATCCCGGAAGGGCCTGAGCCGTACATTCTGAAATAGCTCTTCACATCATTCTGGTGTGATTCCTCAGAAAGACCTGAATTCCTAAAACTCTTCCTTGGCTTCTCTGCCAGCCTGCCCGCCCCTCCTGCAATGGCGCTGAAGCCGCATCCCGATGCATAAAAAGGACAGGAAAAGCTTTTGGAGGTAAAATAAACTTTAAAAAGAAATGGCTTTCCTTCAGGGCATTCATGTGGGCTGGGGATTTAGCGCGGTGGTTTTGGCCATTGCCTTGCAAGCGCAGGGTCCTGAGTTCGATCCCCCGTACAAAAAAAAAGTTGTAAGAACAAAGTTGAACGCTTTGGCCAGGCGTGATTCGAGTCTAGCCTGGGCTACATAGTGAGACCCTGTCTCAAAAAAACCAAACCAAACCAAAAAACAAAACAAGACATAGCATTCATGTGACCAAGATGATATAAAGAAAAAAAAAACTATGAAAATTGAGGGTAGAATATTCTTTCCTCTAAGATAATTTAGGAATAATTTAGGATTAAAACAGTTCAAACACACACACACACATGCACACACACGTGTGAGGGGGGGTCTTTGAATTTTAACAGTAATGAGAAGATTATTTAATATCACACAATTCCCAATTCTTAAAGAATATGTGTGATTTTTTTTTTTTTTTTGGTACCAGGGATTGAATTCTAGACCTCATACTTGTGAGGCAGGTGGTGAAGCCTCTGAGCTAAATCCCTGGCCCACGTGTGATTAGTTAGTCAGTAATGTAAAATTTTATAAGTAAATGAGATAACAAGGGCATATGTATTCTTTATATGTGCGCGCCTTTGTATAGCACTTCTGAGTGGCTCTGAACATAAAGTGTGCATTGATTTCCATGCATTAATTCGTATTAATAGGAAAACATTACAATTTATAGTAAATGCTTTTGGCCACCTTTGCTGATGTTACTGTAAATGAACTAGCTGAAAAGCACAAAAGGTCATGTCAGGCATTTATGCAAAATTTACGAGGGCCGTTTATAAAGGCACCACGCGTTTTATTACTTTGTTCATGTGTCTTGCAGGAAGTCCAGTCATACCGCCGTTTCCTTCCATATTTCAACTGTTCCTCGTTATAAATAAAAGCGTTTTTCTGCTGATCCCTCCCCCCGCCCCCCCGCCTCAAGCCACGCTGTGGGGTGTGAAACGTGGTACTGACTTCTGTCAGGTCTCACTCCCTCTGCAGTGACTGCCTCCCTCAGCTTCAAGTAGTCCGGATGGCTGAGTGGATCAAGCTCCACAGTCCTTGTTTTTTGATGCCCAAAGTGTAAGTTGTCATCACTGGGCAGCCCTCCAAAGGGAAGGTTTTGTACGCCGAGACACAGATGCATTCACACGTTCTCTGTTGGTCTGCCTCTCCCTGGTTACCAAATCTTACTTTATTTCTTATGTAATAAGAAAAAAAAATTAGGCCATTTACCTAATTTTATGTACACTTTTCATAAAGGCCCTATCTATAACAACAACAAAATACTTTCAAGCTTTCATAAGTATTGTCTTTACCCTAACGGTACATCGGCAGCCTGCAAATGTAGCGGCCGCGCTTGGCCATCTCTGGGATCTGTGGTACCTGTAGAATCTCACTCTGTACTTCCTCTTTCTTTCTTCTTCTTCTTCTTCTTCTCCTCCTCCTCCTCCTCCTCCTCTTCCTCCTCTTCTTCTTTTTT